CCGCTTCCTATCGCCGTTGTCGCGTTCGAACCGCCACTGCCAGCGGCAGTAGCGGAGGCTGTGTTCGCGTTGGTCCCAATCTTTCGGAAACGGTGGATCATCCGGCGAACGGGGTGGTCCGCTGTCAGCTCCGAGAGATAGTTTTCGTTCGAACGGTGCTCCGCTAGTTCGCGCTCTCTCCGGACGTCCTCAAGCTTTCGGAATATCAGCTACAAACCCAGAGAGAAATAACACGTGAAAATGCATTTATGCAATTGACTGACTAAGCGATTCTATAATTACTAGTTCCAGCAAACATTAATGAAAAGCTGAAAATCGGCAAGTGCACCCACATGAGCAGACTTCATTTAAGCCCCTCGCTTTCACTCACACTTCTTCTCCACCACAAAATTAGTGTTAGCGTTCGATTTAGAGTTAGGTTTAGGGATTATTGCTAGAGTTGGGCCTTAATATACAGGTTAGGGTAAGGGATCAGGCTATCAAAGTCGTAAACGCCAATTATCTATTAAATTGAGGCCACCACAAAGGTCGCATAAAGCGATATATTCTTCACACTTTGATTGATCAGCACGGGCTGGTTTTCATTTTTCGTCCGTTCATCTTACCTAATTTCCGCTATTTCAAACTGCGCGTTCGTGTTTTCTTCTGTTTAATTGGTGTATTTAAACAGTATATTAGCATGTTTTGTTGACAATTACTCATCTTAAACTGTCATCTGTCAATATTCTTTAAATCACTTATAAAATCCGTAGTATCACCATTCTCGTATAGCATAGATTCATAGCTTTTCGTTTTATCAGTGGGGCCGCATACCCGAGCGTAATTAGTGGCAACATGTAGTTACGATAAAGTCCTGTCCTAGCGAACATATCTTTTTTTACTTTTTCCCAGTTACTTCTGAGGACTACCATGTTCGCTTGTCAAGACTAGTTTTTCAGTCAGTTTACAGCACTTTTGCCCTTCTCGCGAAGAAATTCTACCTAGAACTCTCGGACTTCCTCGTAGCGCATTTTTGACGCACGAGTTAATGTGTCCTGCGCCCGGTTGACCTATTCAAGCTTTGTAGGCTTTCGTAATAAAAAGTTTGGCTTTCGATAAATTCCAGGGGTTATCAAATGCCGTGTCCTGACTTTAACCTTGAACCAAATGCTAGCTCTTCTATTATCATAATTATTCCAACCCTGACCCTAAACTTCCTAGAATTAAGCGCGAGGCCGTGCGTTACACGAGACATACTTACAGCCGTATCCTTCTCGGGCTCGAGATTGACATCAACCCACGCAGGCAGCAGAAAACGGAGTAGTCTGACAGTCGACGAAGGGCAGGCTAGTCAATACACAGACTTACGACAGCCACAGAGGGGGCAAGGTCGCACGAGCCCACCAGCGGTCAAACTCACGGTCAGTCAGCAGCGAACAGACAGATCCAAGTTCGTGCGTCGAGCATGAATATAATACCAGGCATACGGTAAGGCTAAAACAGTCCCGGCAATTAGGAACAATCACCTAGTTACGCTGACGATAGAATCGAACTCAATATAATTCGGTCCACGTCCTCGTACCTCCTCCTCCTCTTCTTTGGGAGATGGTAATAATGCTATTTGGTTAACTTATGACCCTACCCTACTCAGGCTCTAGTATATATTTGGTTCACTTAAACCATGGCACAGTATCAACATACCCGAGTCTTCAGATCGTAAGAGAGGACCAGATTTCGCGCAAAGCTGTTGGCGAAGGCTGTATAGAAGTCGAGAACTTGCAACAGCCGGTCCTTCTTGATGTAGTGTAGGTCACAGTACGTGAGCGCGCGGACGGTGGCAGAAGAGTGGCTCATTCGACTGGGCTCCTTCCAAAATGGTTCCCCAAACACATCTCCACGCCCTAACGTAGAAGGAGGGGGAGGGCAGGTGTGAGTCCTCAAAAATAACTATGCCATTAAAAGGGATTAACGAGAGCCAATTTATACTTAAAAGGGGCGCGTTCTAATTTTGTTGTCCGTAGAAAACTTTTAGTTTTTTTTTCATGCAAAGAAGGAGGAGCCGCTTTTCGAAAAATTTATAACAAAACAAAGAGGATGAAGGTAGGCCTACAGTGCTTGTGATAGACCCAATCGATCTAATCCGTGAGTGTTTGTCTTCGATGCATACTGCACAAAGTCAATTGCTTAATAGTAATATAGTAGGGCGCCTTCTCATGCCGTATGCATTCAAAAAACTATATCTTGGTTTGATCAAATATTAAATGTAACAAATTAAAGAACACGAAAATGAAAAACAAAGAGAATAAAACTAATAAGAAGGAGCCTTTTCGCTGACCGATACCATGGCTTTATTCATTGGAGCTTCCGAACTCATGTCGGAGTCTATCGTTAGAGATAAGGGTGGCAGCAAAACAAGCACCGGTTATAGCGAGCCCGGACCAACCAAACACTAGTAACGCCAGTCTGGGTGTGACTGCGCAGAGCTCTGTATACAGGTTCCAGATCGAAATAGTTTACACCTGAAGTCAAGGCCTCAGTTATTTCCCGACTGACCCAGCTTCTAGCGTGGGCGATTATCTTGATGGCCGCGAAGTTAAACTGGTGTACCGTTTCGTATGTGTGGGCAGTCATTTCTGATAGTCCGCCCCCGTCTTACAGCCAGCTTATGCCCAATTCTTAAAAAATGTGAATATCTATTTTAAAATGTTACCTTCTTAGAACTAGGGACGACTAGATCGTACGCACATCCGAAAAATGAATCTTTTATCGGAGCCTACTACCTCCAGAAAACCATGCGGTAAGTAGATCCCAATCTGAGCCCTAAATCATCAGGCAGGCAAGCTCGGGCATACTCAGTACGGTTTAGGTGGACTTCTAAAACAATCTCTAGTCTTTGGCTTATTCCTGCTCTCGGAGCACGAATGCAGCAAAAGCTGTGGAATTTTTAGCCTTAACAAGGGAGGGCCAAACATTTATATGCCAAACACTTGGATTCACAGTGGTACGAGGTACTGGTTTTTGCTAACGCTTCAATGGTTATCATCCCTTTTGCTGCTGCAGTGGTCGGCACGGGCGATCTCACTGACAATTTAGTAGTAACAGCGTGACAGACCACACTGGCTGATGGACCCTTAGTATGAAGGCTCTTCAATGTACACGTCAAGATATTTTTCGTTTCTCGGTTCAAGTGAGCAGGTACTTCTAACTACTCTTCCCTGTGTCCACCTTGCTCAAGTTCCATCGAATGGTAGGAAAATCTATCACCGCAGATTTCATATTTAGCGCCTTTGCCCTCTCCATTATAGTTGTAAGCAAAAATTGGATTCAATTTTTGTCGAGGTTTCATGGACCTAGTTTTTTCTCATTTCACTTCGCTAGCACTGCAAAAACTCCCACTCTTTACAACTTTCCGTCCTCATGATATCCGCTATATAGTAACATCCGGCATAAGACGCCTATGGCGGCCACCACGATAAACAAGGGTAGTGGGAAGATTTATGACTGCGGAAGCGTCCTTTGCTGACGCGGTCTTCAGAAGCATACCCAGATTCTTTTGACGTTTATGGCTATGAGTGGTACTCAAACATAGTATCAGGTGTTTAAACTGAAGGCATTTATTTTGAGAGTGAGAGGGTTTGTTCCGGTGTCCGCGTGCGGCACTAGATAGCGGGATTTCGGCGTCAACTTCAAATATTATCGGCGATAAAACGAACCCTCCTACCCAAACTTAACGCAAAATCCATATTTAACAAAGGATAGCACCCAGCCCAGTGCTGTGCCTTATGTCCGGCGGGTGATAACTCATCCTACGCAATTTCTTTTTAATGGGTGCACGAATACAACCTACGCCCAATGGAGGATAGTTGCTGGCCTTTGCTAAACTTCAAATGGAAGCAATCGGCCTCCATCGGTGCCGTAAAGGACAGCAGATCTAGGCAGGCTATTTTTGGGCAACAATTTTTTATTCTTCTTTGGTGTTGTGTGTGTGTACGTGGCAGTGAGCTTATTCACTGTTTTTTCCAACGCGGTGTGTCCTACTTAACACCTCTTTCAATCACGCAACTGGCAAAGGGTTTCTCTAGATGCTCTGTAATACGTAATTACTGTGTCTTCTATAGTTAAAACTGAATTTATGTGAACCTCCTTACGTTGTTAAATATATCTCGTGCGAAGAAGAAGACATAATCGCTAGGACAAAACTTTTATTAGCCTGACGTTTCAAAATCCGTCGCGGATTCTTCAGCAGAGACGGGAAATTCACGCATGACTCGCATGTTCGCTTCTATTGTGTCTTCCACTTTTTCGATATGCAGAATACCTCAAAGCATAGATGTCGATTAAAGCCTTAACAATTTACAGTAAACACACTTTATCAACTTGTTCGAAGTAACATTCAAAAGCTTCACTAATGAATTCCTAACTAAGGACCGAACTTAGTTTTTTGGCTTTGAAATAACCCATAAAAGGATTCATATGAAATCTGTTCAGACATCCTCCTCTGACTGTCTGCAGAAATACAAAACCTCCGGGAATTGAGTTTGCTCTGCACTAGACTCGTTTATTTGGGCTGCCTTAAATAGCCGATTGATGCAGTTTTGAGTGAAGTCTGTGTCCCCTAAGAGAAGATGATTTGTTTTCTGTTTTCTTTTATAGAGTGCAGTTTTGCTAGGCGTAGTTCACATCCTTGTATGACAGGGAGTCCACAAAAATAACTTAACCTAAGATCAAGAAAACGCTTTTAAATTTTTATATTGACTGTTCTTTCGGAAAACGTAGGGGACTCGAATCATATAGGGTTTATTTTAGAGGGCGAGTTTCGGGAAATAGCATACCTAGAAGGAGCGCATGGGATCGCTGGAAAGAGATACTTATTGGGTCGACGACTCGGATTGCCACTCGAGCCCGCCACCAGCAACAACAGCATATAAGGGTAGTATTGTCATAAATTGGCCAAAAGCCAAGGTGTTCGCCAGCCAAAAAGGCCTCTTTCGAATCCCCGAACGAAAACACAACAGCAAGGGTCCAAAAATGGGAGTCT